TAATGGAAAAGGCTAAAAGAAAAAGCTTTTATAAAGAAGGAATTTTGTATAGTGAGTTTTTGTCTGAAAATAAAATGGCTATATCAGAACAGAAGAAAAAGGAGACAGAAACTAGGTGTGAAGCATGTTGCTGAATGTTTGAGTTGTGTTACAAAAGTCTAAGAGTTACAGGAATTGATCGAGTCAGTGTTCTGGAGCTGGTCACGTGATCTTTGAATGTTATATACAGTGAAAGTAAAAGGGAGGAGCGCCTCCAACTAGTCCAGACGGGGCCTCACATAGTTGTAAAGTCGGCCGTCGGTCTGCCACACCAGAGCCAGGAGGACTGCTTCCATGGACTCGCCAGGGCCTTGGGCCATCAAGATGGGCCGGGACGGTCCTTTATGGTGGTGCTTCAGAGACCAGAGAGCGGCAGCCCTGCTCTAGTCACTCCAGACTGCAATGCGGACATTGTCAAGGGTGTGACTCGGTGGCTCCGCGACCAGACGGTCAGCAAAATGACGGGCTGCTGCTGACTCGGGAGATGGATAAAGACCTTGAATATTAACCGCTGGCTACCTCTACACCTTGAGCCCAAGTAATCAGGCACTGCGCTCTCGAAGTAGCTCTCCTTAATAGATGTTTAAAGAGACTCAAAAAAAATATATAGTTTCTATTTTCTGAAAAAATTTTGTTGATTCCATAAATACCTAACCAAGTGTTGTCCTGCTTCTGTAAACCGCTTGCATTGTCTCGAAAAGTGCTGTGTCACAGTCTCCCTTTAAGCGATTGAGCCTGGTGACTGCATACCATGAACACTGGCGTCGACCAGACACTCCTGTTTGCGAACAACTACGGCCAGCAACTGGAGACCATAAAATCAGCCCATCCCTGACTCAGACCACATGGAGCTCAGTAACAGGGATCCACGACTGGCTCCACCATGTACTTGGAAAAGGGGGAACTGAAGGGCCAGAGTGACTCCGTTTCCTTAGAGGGCCACTCCATTTTGTTAAACCCACCTTGCTGAGAATCAGCGCCCTCTCAAGTAAGAGAGGGTCATAATGAGAAGAACAAAAATACCAGAGACCTGGAATAACTTTTCGCCCAACTTAAGGGTCTAAAGACCAGTCAGTAAAAGACAACTTGCCTTGCCCAAATTAACTGTCTAAAGACCAGTCAGTAAAAGACAACTTGCTTCTTGAAATCTACAGCCAACGTACAGCTGCGCGAGTGCCTTCCTCAGCACCCCTCGACCTGCCCCTAACAGCCAAATAAACACCCAGCCCGACTAACACTGGGCTCTCCACTCTGACTGCTGTGTCGGTAAGACTGACAGTCCTGGCTCGAGCCCGAATAAAAACGACCCTCGTGTGCTTACGGCGGAATCGGCTCCTTGTGGGTTTTTGGGAATTCCGCGACGGGGCACTACAAGCACCATGATTATAATTCAGTAAGAATGAAAACACACACGAGGAAGTAAGATAAAAAGAGATGATCTAAATGTTTCTGCAGTAGGATTATAGTAGGTCTTCTTTATTTTTCTGCCCAGTTGTCTATAATGTTAATAGTTTGAATAGCCCTCGTTCAAAAGGCAGAAATCCGAAACTTTTGGGCACCCACCAGATGCCACATGTAGGAGATTCCACACCTGACCTCACGTGAAGGGTCCCAGTAAAAACACTGCAAACCGGAAATACTGCACATGGCTACCCTCGGGCTCTGTGTATCAGGTGTCTATGAAACAGAAAGGAATTTCAGGTTTAGACTTCGGTCCTATCCCCAGGATATCTCATTATATGCAAATACCTCAAATTCCTAGGCACCCTGAAATCCAAAACACTTCTGGTTCTAAGCATTTCAGACAAGGAATCCCTGATGGCATTGCCTTGTTCAGGAAGGAAACCACTCAGCAATTTAAAAAACAACCAAGTTGTTTTCCTTTTTTCTTTCAGGTTGTTGTCACAGGGTACATGCGCTTGCCAGAGAGAGACAGAGAGACAGTGAGAGGGAAAGTGAGAAATCATCCCCAGGGGGGACGGCCACATTGCAATCCCTTCTCCTCCATTCTCCTCTCAGGATTTTGGGCATGCACACACATGCCCAGTGTGATTTTCAAGTTACTGGGTACAGGACTCGAACTGTGGTTGACCATGTGAGGGTCTAGCGCCTTAATGGCCGTGTGACCTGGGACCCGAGAACCAAGTTACAGTATTTTATGTGTCCCTGCTAACTGCAGGGCGAAGTCAGCCTCTCATAGCCATGCCTACGGAGCTTTCAGATCTGTCCCTACACCTTGCTATGTTCAGCGCCCACATCCCCGACCCAGGCTTCCCGGCTCTGGGAATGGAGCCTCCACAGTGGGCAGTCCAAGGGGGTCCTTGTCGCACTGGCTGAAAAGCGAGTGGACATGAACAACCTCGGAGTCGATTGGAAGGGAACCGGTGAATGAACTCTGTGTTGCTTACTGCGGAGACCTTCCAAGAATGAGCTAGGTGGCTGAGTCTCACTGGAAACCAGACCTGAAACGTTAGGTTGAAAAGCAACTCACAGCAGCTCGGCACAGAGGCAGCATGCTCCGCGGGGAAGCCACGGTACCTGAGCGTGCCCGTGCACTCACATTTTGGGCGTGCACACGCGTGGGAGTGTCTGGGAGTCCTCTCGGTTCCTCCTCGTTCCCCATGTCGAGTCTACCAGCAAACCCCTGGGCTCTCCCCACATAGCGCCCCCTGCTTGGCGGCTGCTTGCTCACAGCCTCACCGCCCTGCCGGGGCCAACCTGGCCAACTTTCTGAGCCTCTCATTGACCTCCGTGCCTCTGCCCTGGCCCACAATCCATTCTCCAGAATGATCTTTCAGCAGCGTTGACCTGAGCGTGCCTCTCCCGCCTTCATGGTGTTGCGGTGACTGCTTACTGACCTTAGGACGATTCCCCACACCCAGTCTCATCCCGTCACTGGCACGTGCCTGTGGGCTCCAGCCACCAGCCTCCTTCCAGCTCCCCCTGGTGTGGTTTGCCCCCCTGGCTATTCAGATCTCAGGGTTCTTTGTGCATCCTCTTTGACCACTGGCGTCTCTGCCAGGGACTCCCTCTTCCTGAGCACTGGCCGGAGGTGTGACGCGTCCCCCTGGGCGGCTGTCTGCTAGATGCTCCACAGACCCTCAAACTCGGCGCTTCCCAAGCTGCAGGTCACATTCCCCCTTTGTTCTTGGGGACTGATCCCCAGGACCCCAGTGGGACCCCTGGCCCTCCTGCACCAGCCCCAAGTTGCCACATCAGCCTCCTTCTTGGTGCCCAAGGCTCCCCTCCTGCTCACCTGCTGCTCTGTTCATGCCTCACTGTCCCCGGTCTGGATTCTGGTAGCACCCCTCCCCGCCCTCCCGGTCGGTGCCTTTCACACAACACCGTGAGGTTTCTTAGGCTCGCCATGACTTTAGGTCTGCACAAACAGCACCTCTGCTTGGTAGTCTGGAAGCTGCACTGGAGGCTCAGGTTCAGTTCCTGGGCCAACCTGAACATGCTGGGTGTGGTGGCTCACACCTGCACTTCTAGCTAACGGGGAGCAGGGCAGGGGACCATGGTATGGAGAGACCCGGTCCAACATGCCGATCTCGGTCTCTCCCTCTCCCCCTCTTTTTCTCTCATAAAGGAAGAAAAACATAATGCCCAGCTTCCGTCTTTGGGAAGCCTTTCTTGACACCTCTTCCAGTGTCCCTCCACCATGTGCTCCCACACCGCTTCCAAAGCTCCCCCCTGGCACTCGCCAAGCTGCAGAGCTGCCCTGCTGGGCCAGCAGCTTCTCCACCTCACTACCCTGTGTCCTCGGTGCCGAATCGCAGAGCACACCTCAGGGCTGGTGGTGCTAGCTGTTTGCTGGTGGGTGAAGCAGTGAATGGGTTCTTTGTCTCGTTCTCATTCCTGAACTGACTGTCACTCCTTTGCCTAAAACTCCATTTTCTTCAGAATTAAGTCTGGATAATTCCTGATGTTCACTAGTCAGACACTCTGCCGGGGTTTTACATGTCCACTTCCGGGCCTCACCACACCCCTGGAGATGCGATGATTATTTCTGCTTAACCAGGAGACAGGGACGGAGAGGCTAAATCATTTGCTCGGCCTGTGGGTTTGAATTTAAGTCGGACTCGAGCTCAAACCTCTAGTGGGGCATTTGGTCACAGGGCTCCCACGATGGCCCTGGTGTTTCCCCGAAAGGCTCAGCCCCTCTAGGCCACCTCCTGTTTCTGGCCAGCCGGTCTGTCCTGCAGCGGCAACGGCCCTCCCACCGTCTTGCATTCTGGCAGAGCTGCCGAGGGTGAGGGCCGGCTGCCTGTCAGCCAGTCCCGGCAGCTAGCAGGGCTGCCTCTGGAGGTGCACCCCCAGCATCGCCATGCCCCGCCAGCGGAGGGCTGTCGGGCCTCTCTGCCTTTGTTGGTGTTTCGACCCTCTGAGCCGCCTCCCTCCCAGCGCAGGGCAGGCCAATGCTTGTCCTGGAAGCTGGCCTCAGCCTGGGCAGCCTGGCGGAGCAACCTGGAGTGGCCAGGTGAGCTCAGGTCTGCAAGGGCACCTTGATCCGTGCTGTATCCTGGGAGCTTAGTCCATGGAGGCCCTGCCTGCTCTACCCCTGCGTGCTTCTGGGTCCACCCAGCTCCAGCAGCAGACGGTGGCCCTCAAGTCCCAGCCTGTTTCCACTCTTGCTTTCAAGAAAGGATTCAAGTTCAGTCATTCATTCTGAAGGGAACAGGTGGGATGGAGAGTTCTCAGGGACACCGGGGGACGTACCCCAGGGCCTTGCTTTCTGGCTCACCAAGGGGGTTCGGAGTTAAGGGAAACGAGGAGGCTGTTAGCAGTGCTGCAAGCCAGCCCCCAATATCCAGCCTTGGACAACACTGCGACTTGGGCCATGTCCCTCTTGGAGTCAGCTTTCCCCTGGACCTGCGTTAGCTCTGGGGCTTCCCACCTGGACCCTTCTCTGGCCAGCCGTCCCACCCTCTTCCTCCCCTCCTGACCGCCTCCCCGCTCACCTTAGTCCTTCCTTGCGCGCCATATTGAGAAGCTGGTGGGACGGTCGCCTCTCAGCAGCCCGTCGGGAGAAGTGGACCCTCCCTCCTGGTGATAAGGACAGACCAGGCCGGCTGTGCCTGCCTAGTGCCTCTGAAACCACACCCACAGAGGCAGTGCGGTGAATTCCCTGAGAGGAACATGCTTGGGGGCAGGGCCTCTGGCCAGGGCTGGATCCAGGGTGGGGTCAGGCAACCCCTGCGGGGCCAATCACCTGGAAGAGGGTGGATCTGCGCATGGCCAGCTCCAGTTGGCCGGAGGCTCAGAGCCATCTTACAGTGACGCCCTGACCCCCTTGGGGTCCCTGAGCCGCTCAGGGGTGTCTTTTGGTTCCTGAAAATTGCTGGATTCAGGGGGTGCTCTTTACCTAGGTAAATCTGATCTGCAGGACCTTGGCCAGGCCTGAAGGGCATCGGGTTGTTGAACTTGGACAGGCACCTCCTGGAGCCCTGCTCCTTGTCAGTGAGGTGAATGTGGGAGCCAGGAAGTCAGTTCTGTAAAGTTTATTTTGGATGGTATTTTTAAAAACACAAGTTCTATCCCATTAGAGGGCTGTGAAACGTTTGGTAGCTCTGACCAAGATCTAAAAAGTATGAACAGGAAGAGAACTGCAAAGAAAATACCCGGATGTATACAGGGTAGGTTTGGTTTCGTTTTGGCAGATAAAGCCTTATTTTATTTAAAGGATGATCTGTGTATCTGCCAATGCCACCGTGCACAGTCAAGAGACGGGGACTTTGTTTCTCCATCTCTTCTTCCTTGGACGGAGTCTGGATGATCTCTTCCCTCTTGGCCTGGAGCGCTCCTCACGGCGCATGCGTGCTTCCTGGGTTAGCCCTGCGGCCTCAGCCTGGTCGGCCCGGAGCTCCTCGGGGGCCTTGTCTGCCTTCAGCTTCTGGATGTGCTCCCTGAGAATCCGCTTGTTCTTGAACACATTCCCCTTCACCTTCAGGCTCAGGCTGTGACCCGTGTGGCGGTCAATCTTCTTAGACTCCCGGTACCTTCTGAGCAGCCGGCGCAGGGTCCTCTCTCTCACCCAGGTCACCTTCGCTGGCATTCTAGCACTGCCGCACCCTTTTGCGGACCTGTGCCCGTATGGCTGCCCTTCGGCGGGCCAAGGTGTTTTTCCAGCACCGAGCCCGGGAGTGGACAGTCACAGTGGATGATCAGAAGCTTGATCCCATCCTTGATCAGCGTCCGATCTGCTGACGGGAGTTGGCATTGGCAATTTCATTGGTCTCGATGGGGTCCAACCGGACCTTCTTTTTGTCACAGTGGAGAACACTAGAGGCAAGCCCCTTCTGAAGCCTGAGCATATTCATGGCTGCGGCTGCGGCTGCGGCGCCGGAAGGGCTAGGGTAGGTTTTGTTTAACATTTTTACATCAGTTAATATATATTTAAGTGTTACACAAGGTCGGGGCGGGGGGTGGGGGGGGAATTTTTTTTGAGAGAGTTTTGCTATAGGGCGTGTGTGCTCGCCAGAGAAACAGGAAGCGAGAAATCACCTCCCTAGGGGGGTGGCCACTCTACAATCCCTTCTCCATTCTCCTCTTGGGATTTCGGGTGCACACACACCTGCCTGGCATGAGTTTGAGCTGCTGGATTCGAGAGTTCAACTGTGGTCAACTACGCGGGAGTCCGGGTCCGTAACCACTGTGCCGTTGGCTTGCATTGGGGACTATTTTTTTTTTTTCTTGGAGTGTTTTTTGCTATAGGGTGTGTGTGCTTGCCAGAAGACAGAGACAGAGGGAGAAATCACCCTCCGGAGGGATGGCCACGCTGCAATCCCTTCTCCTCCATTATCTTGGGATTTAGGTCATGCACACACATGCACCTGGTGTGAGTTTTAAACTACCTAATACAAGGAACCACGGTCGATTACATGGGAGTCCAGCAACATAGCCATTACGCTAACTGCTGGTCCCTTGGGAACTATTTTTAAAATGCTGGGTCATGGCCAGAAAAACTTTGCAAAATTCTGTATGAAGGGTAAAGAGCAGGGCAGAGGCATGTTTAAGGGCATAGCCTAGACTTGCCAAAGGCTGGGGCTGCCATCTAAGGGAAGAAAGCACAGACACCCAGCTGCCCACCCATCCCCTCGAACTCACCTGCTCCTCTTTCAGGAGCCGGGTCCCTTCCTCTTCACCACACACATAAACACACTCAGATGGGGTCTGCTTATGGGAAAACCGGGGCACAGAAAATGAAGCCTGCCCAGAGCCTGGCGCACAGGCCTCACCTGAGCACTTGCGCCCCCTCCCTGTCCCTGGGGTCCTGCCATCCTTTCTCTGCCCTGGGGACATCAGCCTATCAGGATCCTGGGTCCATTTAGGGATCAACCTGCTAGTCATTCCTCTTCTTCCTCCAGGTAAGAGTTGCATTTTAAGATTTTTTTCCTTCTTCCTTTTGTCCAGATTTTTGCTATAGGGTGCATGCACTTGCCAGAGAGACAGAAAACAAGACATCAATCCCCCGATGGCCAAACTACAATCCCTTCTCCTCCATTCGCTTCTCAGGATCTTGGGTATGCATGCACATGTGCCCAGTGTGAGTTTGAAGCCACTGGGTCCAGGACTTGAACCGCGGTCAGTCATGTAGGAGTCCAGTGAGGTAACTGTTACGCCACCTGCCGGTCCCTACATTTTAACGGCTTTCTAAAGAGCGTCAGTTATCACGCTAGAGTTAAAGGTATGGTGTTGGTCTTCCAAAGGTCCTGATGCAGCAGGTTGCAGCCTGGGCTTCAAACCCACATTCCTGCAGGTGCAGACACTGCCTAGAATGTGTAGCCAAGGGCTTGTGGTTGTGCTGCCGGGGACGGCACCTGCTGTTCCTCATTGTAGGGCAGGTGGCTGTTCTGTTCCTGGCTCCAGGGACTCAGTGCTAGTTTGCAGAGGCACGTGGTAAACAGGGTGGCCACTATGTGCTGGCTGCAAACCTGACGGCCCACCTCCTGCATGTCCAGTTCCTGCTTAGGCCTCTGCATAAACCCGCCTTGGTCAGAAACGTTTTCCTCTCGTACTCAAGGCCTGCGAGCCACCTCCTCTGACCTTTTTTTGGGGGGAGGGGTGTGTGTGGAGGGCACTTACCAGAGATGGGTGTGTGTGTGTGTGTGAGAAAGCACCCTCCTTGGGGGGATGGCCACACTACAATCCCTTCTCCATTTTCCTGTAGGGATTTCATACACACACACACACACAGAGTCTGATTTTCAAGCTGTTAGGTCTGGAACTCAAATGATGCAAACAGCCATGTGGGATCCAGCCGCTTTAACCATTGTGTCACCAACTAGTCCTGTCCTAGTCATTTACAAAGTTCTTTTGCAGGCGCTGGCAGGTGGCATGGTAATTAAGGGCGCTGGACTCCTGTATGGGCAACCATGGTTCAAGTCCTAGACCTGGTGGCTTGCTTCCTCACTCCCACCCCCACCCCCCCACTCTGTCCCCCTCTGGTCAAATTAAAATAAATAAATTAAAAAAAATAATTCTTTAAACAATTTTTTTTTCTTTTTTCTTTCTTTTTTTTTTTTGCTATAGGGCACCAGGAAGAGAGAGGGAAAGTGAGAAATCACCCCTTGGGAGTGGGAGGGGTTGCCACGCTGCAGTCCCTTCTCCTCCCTTTTCCTCTCAGGATTTCGGGTATGCATGCACATGCGCTTGACCTGATTTCAAACCACTGGGCCTGGGGCTCGAGATCCAGTTGCCCACATGGGATCCTGGGCCTTATTCCATGCCACCTGCTGACCCTGAGCATTTTCTATTTCAGCGTCTACAAATGCCTGCAGTGCTCAGGGATCCAGAGCCATCCACGGCCTATTCTGGACGCTGGTAGCTCTTTCCAAGCCTTGGTGGGGTCTGGGCTCTGTCCCAGGGCTTCTGGACGCTGCGGAAGAGCCATGACTCCCCAGTGGGACTGGTGGGTGAGGGCTCAGAGGGGACAGGGCTTCTGGACCCCCACTCCAAGGACCACTGTGTGAAGGGGAGAGGTGGCATCCCCTGGCATGACCTGGAGCTAAGGGCCCTTGGATGGCGCCCCAGCAGTGCGGAGGGATGGACTTCGTGGTGTCACTCCCCCACCCAGGACCCAGCCCTCACCTGCTGGGTGTGAAGGAGCCAGTCAGGCAGGGACGAGCTCCCTGGCAGAGAAAGGCACCGGAAAAGCGGTTTTACAGATTTATTTTTAAAAAACAAAAGGTTAAAAAAGTCCTTCATTTCCAACCCTGCCTGGGGGTACAGGTGAGGAACAGAACGAGCTGAGAAACACGCCCACTCTCCCGGGATCCCACAGGGCGGGGTGGGTCAGAGCAGGCGGGCGCCCTCCTCAGGCAGCTCACACTGCTGCTAGGGCGTTTTAGAGCAAGAGCGGAGTGGGAGGGCAAAGGCGGCTGCTCGCCTGGGCGGGAGCTCGGGGGACTGTCCTCCCCCCCAAATCCTCAGGCTCCCCGGGGGCTCCCAGGTGGCTCAGCCCTCTGGCGAGGTGGCAGGGCAGTCGGGGAACCTCGTGGTGTGGGGAGGGGTGTCCGGGATGCCTGGGCAAGTCTGGAGAGGAAAATCCCTCAGCAGGTGTCCCCTCTCCAGCCTGTCCGAGCTGCCCTTCTGCTCTGTTCCCACCCAAGGGCGGGTGGAGTCCAGGACAAAGCACTAAGTGGCTGTTTGCTACAAAACCCCTGGCCATGCCAGAGGCCGGCGCCTGGCCTGTTTGCGGGTCCAGGCTCCCACAGTCACACAGTCACACACACAGCGTTAAGGCGTCTGTGCCAGCAGGCGTGGCCACACTGGGCCCAGCCCCTCTCCCCACCGGAACAAACCGGCGGCTGCAGAGACAGGCTGAAGGGGGAGAAGCTGGCAACGGAAGAGCTAACCAGGCCTGGGGAAGGAACTGGGAGGAAGGCGAGGGCTGTCAAGGCCTCTCCCCAGGCCTGCCGGCTGCCCTTGGAAGTAACCCAACTCCAGTTGGGGAGCCCTGACCAGATGCCCCCTGGAAAATGGGGGGCAGAGCGGGGAGAGAGCGGGGCTATAGTAGTGGGACTTTGGAGGAAGCCAGTGCTGTCAGTATTTACAAGCGTCAAGCCCCATCTTCTGTGCCACCTGCCTCTGCCCCCCACGGAAGTGAAAGGCCCCTGAGAGCCACTGAGAGGTGCTGGACCGGCTCACCAGCCATGCCCGGGGAGAGCTCCTTTCCAGACCGGCCACGTCTGGGCCCCTTGGACGGCCCTAGGAGTCCTTGAGCATGCTGATGCGTGCGTAGATCTTCAGGGCGGGCCCCAGCTTGATGTTCATGGCGCTCATCAGGTGGTCCTCCTTGAGCAGCAGCAGGGCCTGCCCGTCGATCTCCTGGGCACGGAATTCCTCTGCGATCTCCTGGCAGCCTGCAGGGAACACCAGCAAGACGTCAGAGTGACCGGTAGGCATTGGCCCCGGTAGCTGCCGCGCGTCCGGACCGTTATCGGGTTTAGCCCTCATGGCCGAGCCTGGGGAGGGTCCTAGAGCCTTATTTCATGGCTTGGGAGAAACTGAGAACTCGCCTGAGTCACGCTTTGCTCAGAGCCCCACCATGGACAGGACTGACCTAGGTGACTGATGAGGTGCTGCAGAAGTGACAGACAGCACGTGACTTTGGAGGCCACACCATGTGGGCCACGGCAGCGTTTGCCATGCTCTCTTGGATAGTTTACTTTGGAGGAGGATGGCTGCGCCAGGGATACTCAGGCTGCCCTCTGGAGAGGCCTCCATGGGGCAGCCGGGGCCTCCTGCTGATGGCCGGCCAGTGCCCAGGTGAGTGGGCTTCCACTGAAGGGGCTCCTGCGCTGCAAGCCTTCAGATGGCTGTAGCCTTGGCTGACATCTTCTTTAAAATGATTTATTTTTTTAAAAATATTTACCTTTATTTATTTTAATTTGACCAGAGAAGGACAGAGAGAGAGCACGTGCAAGCCATTGGGTCTGGGACTCAAACCACGGTCAGCCATGCGGGAGTCCAGTGCCCTTAACCACCACGCCACCTGATGGCCCTCCTTTTATGAATTATTTTAATTGTTTTATCATTTTTTAATTTGACTGGAGAGAACTAGAGAGAGGGAAAGTGAGAAAGCAAGAGGCCAGGTCTGGGACCTGAGCCGCGGTCAGCCACGTGGGAGTCCAGTGCCTCAACCACCCCGCCACCTGCCGTTCCCCCAGCTGAATCTTGATGCAGACCTCATGTGAGACCACAGCCTCAACTGCCCAGGTAGCCGCCACACCTGCCTGGCCTAGAGCCCCTGCAGTGAGCCACTGTCTGGGGAACCCGAGGGAAGCACAGATGACACGGACTGTGCCACCTGGAAGAGGAGTGCTATGTGGGCAAGGCCTTGGAGCCCGTCAGTGTCACGTGCTCTGAGAGACTGAGCGGAAGTCTGGCGGTCTTCAGAAAGGAAGCTGCTGGAAGGCCAAAGGGAGTGAGGAAGCCGGTGCCGGCCTTGGGAGACAGGCTTGGTGCTAGGAAGGAGCAGAGAGCTGCACACGCAGAGCTGGTGGGGCTGCTGGTGCCACGGCAGATTCTATGCACCCGACAGACTGAGCAACCTCGCTGGGGTCCTGTGAAGGAGCTACCTGGCTGTTGTCGCTGAGCTGCTCACGGCGGAGCACGAGCCACAGCTGTGCCGGCGCAGATCACCAGCTGTGTCTCCCAGCCCGACCTGAACAGGGGGCGGGGGCACACCCGTGGGTGTGGGTGGCTGGGAAGGCTTGCGGCTTGGCAGGAACTGTCAGGAAGATGCCCCTCGTGCTCACGTGCTTGCACATGTTCTATCATTTAAAAGAGACTGTTGGACAGAAAGTAGCCAGGGCTTGCCAGACGTAAGACTCCTCAGCCTCTGGGCCATCCCGATAGCCTGGTGGTTAAGGGAGCTGGATCCCACGGGACTTAACTGCAGTGAGAGTCCCGGTCCCAGCAGGTGGTAGAGTGCTTAAGGTGCTAGACTCCCATGTGGCAGACTGCAGTTCGAGTCCTGGACCCAGTGGCTTGAAACTCACACTGGGCACGTGTGTGTGCTCGTCCAAAGTCCCAAGATGAGAATGGAGAAGGGATTGTGATGTGACTATCCCGTCTGGGGCGTGATTTCTTGCTTCCTGTCTGTCTCTATCTCTTTGGTAAGTGCACGTGCCTTATAGCAAAAATGTCTCTCGAAAAAAGAAAAACATACCAGGTATGTGTGTGCATGTGTGCACGAGCGTGCCAACTCCCCACAGATGGAGAAATGGAAGAGAAGGGACTGCAGTGACCGTGCCTCAGTTCTCTCCCTCTCTCACTGATGAGTTCATGCTAACCTCTGGCAAGTTAAGAAAAAATCCTTCAGCCTCTCCAGATGACAAATGATACCAAAATTAAGAAAGGTTTCTAGGCAAAGATCAAACCAGGGCACAGTCAAGAAAATGAAACTCAGATGAAACTGGGAGTGGCTTACATCTTGCAGAAGGCCTCAGAAAGATCCTGAAAGAACTACTTGATCCCAAGGCTCTTTACAAGGAGTTTGTGGGTCAGCCCCACAGATCCTCTCTAATGGTAGGGCTTTTGAGGCTCTTAAGAGCACTCTGGGCCAGGAGGTGGCATGGTGATTAAGGCGCTCAATCCCTCATGGCTGACTCTGCAGTTCAAGTCCTGGAACAAGCAGCTGAAAAGCACACCAGGTGTGTGCGCGTGTGCCCAAAATCCCAAGAGGAGAATGGGGACGGGACGGCAGCGTGGCCATATCCCCAGGGGTGATTTAACCTTAGGGACACTCTCTCAGCCGCAGCTTCAGAAGAAGCCTGATACTGAAAAAAGCTTATTTTGAAGAAAATTTGGGGTGAGGTTTTGTGTAACTGAAGAAATTCCAACAAAATTTTAGGGAGACCATAGAGCCTGGAAGGGTGATACTGGGCTGAAAGGCTGGGGGTCCCGTAGGGAAGCAGCAGCAAGAGCAGGCTGCTGAGCACGTGTGCTGCCTCTCAGGACAGGGTGACGCGGGCAGAGCCGAGTGGGGGCACCACGCCCCGCCGAGTCCTCGTCTGGGAAACGCCAGCTGGATCTCAGGGTCGGCTGGGGCGGGGACGTGGACATACCCAGGGAGTGGGTTGCTCCGCCGTGGCTAGTCCGCGTGTCCACATGGCTACTCTGTGGCTGCCCTGCTGCAGGCTGGGTGGCAGAGGGGCAGTTCTCGTGTCCTTACTGAGGAGCTGGGCTCCAGGAGCCTTGTCTGGGCCTGAGCCTGAGCTAGATGGGGGCCACACTGACGCTGGGGAGGTGGCAGTCCTCTGGCAGGGCGGGGGGTCTGGCCCGGAGGAGGACATGACTCACTGGGGCCAGAGCAGGACTACAGCAGCCTGTCCGACGGCGCCTGATGGTGTCCTGCACTCTGTCTCTGAGCCACAGGAGGAGTGACGGGCCTGGTGGCCGACACTGCTGGCTCCTGCAGTGCTCTCGGGGTCACTACCTGGGGTGAACCTGCCACCCTGCCTGTCATGAGGGACAGTAGGAAAGAGCAGAGTGGCCTT